CAACATCTGCTCATTCTTCAGAAGAAAATGGAAGGCTGTGAAAAACAGCTTCCAGAGAAACAGTGGAGCCGATTGGGGTCTCAGCAGAACCTGATCCAGAGCCATCGAGTGTGCTGGATCCAGACTGTCCTGAACCAGAACCTCAAGTGGATCTGGATTATGTGGAGCAATCGAGTGTCCCGGATCCAGACTGTCCTGAACCAGAACCTCAAGTGGATCTGAATGATGTGGAGCAATCGAGTGTCCCGGGTCCACGTGATCCTGAGCCAGAAACGGATGTGGATCTGGTTGATACAGACTCAGAGCAATCATCTATCCCCAGATCCAAGCTGCTGTAAAACAGAAAGTCAAGCAAAAAATCCGTCAAAGCGTGATCCAACTGCTGGATCACCTGGTCAGGGATCTTATCTATGCACAATCAGCTTGTAACACGCCAAAGAGAAAGGAAAACTTGAAATCGCATCATATGACCCCTTTAAGATAAATGAAAACATTTTAACATAGTTGCAACTTGCGCATTCAGTTGATCAGCAGTTTCTAGCCATGCAGCCTTTCTCTCTGGTTTTATGACAGCTGTACCTTTTATGGTTATTAATAGAACATTAAAACATGTCAATCTAAAATTGCTCTTTAAAGCATTAAAAACACTAAATTAAAAGTTGCGTTGCTGGGTTTTAAAGCAGGTTTAAAAAAAAAAATTTAAGTCTGTATTTACAGCAATTTTACTGTATACTGCCAGAGCTGTGTGAGATCACTAACATGCTGCTAACAAATGTATATAAATAATTAATTAATTATGATTAATTACAATTATTTATATCAGCTGCCAGTAGTAACTGTAGCAGAATTAAATTGCCCTCAACTAATCTGTTCGTCCAGCGAACATTCAGTGTAAGTTCATATCAACTCTAGGAAAAGTTATTTTCGTGGCCACAGAAAATACTTTCATACAGTATTAATGCATTAGAGCATGCAGCAAGGATCAAAATCGAAAAGGGACATTAATTTGCAAGGCAGAATCAGAAACTCATGTAATTTGTGCACAAGAGTTTTATTAACTAAACACTAACACAAACTAGTCTAACAAACAAACAAACAAACAATCACTTATACAGGGGAAAGGGCAAATGAGACTTGATGGATGAAACCATCAGGAAAACCAGAGAATGAAGCTATGAAAAGAGTCAGTTAACCACCTGAGTAAAACCATCAGCGCCGTTTATAACGGGGTCTACAGCTTATACTAAACCTCTGTTTCGTTTAGTTCAATGTACGATACTTGCATTGCCTTGGTCGTTGTTTGATTGGGTCGGTGATTGGGAGTTTCTTCCCAGTGGAAAGATATCTAAGAGAGACATCAGCTGAGATCCTAGGATCTTTGGTGAATGTAAAGATAAGGCCGAAGCCTGGTGCAGACTTAAGAGTTGCAGAAGCGTTCTAGCTCACATTCTCATGGATTATACAAATGAATATATGAATGAATTAATTATATGAATGTATCTCTGAAGGTTTTGACTATCTTCAGAAACGATTCGATGGCATTTTGTTTTCATCTTCGCTCCATGTAATACCTAATAAAGTAATGTTTTAATCGCAATGCTGCTTTGTGCATGGAGGTTACGTGAAACAGCTGTAATTCTGCTCCTCCATCAGCGCCACCTGCTGTCAGAGAGTGGCTCTACAGAGACTTGCATTCACATTCAGTCTGTGTGCAGTTTCTGTCTGGCCAAAAACGGACCGAATTTGCATGCCCTGCTGTAAATTTGACCGGTTAATGAAAAACAAGCTTATGTGGATTCTACACATTTAAACAATTCAGATACGTTATCTATAATTTATGGAGCAGATAAAGTACATATAATCATTTATTAATCAATTATCATTTTGACTTAACCCTTTTCTTTATTTAAAGGCTGAAATGTGAGGTTTACCTTTTTATGAAACTTTTTCAAAGCTTTATTTGAACATTTACATGAGATATTTGAACATGCTATTAAACCGTGGTCAGTAAAATTGTCATTTAAAATCCGAACATCATTGGTAACGTTATTGTTTTAGTGAATATACAAACACAAAGTCATTTTATTTGTTGTTTGTTAAATATAAAACTTGGTGAAGTGATTTATGTGTCGGTACTTTTTGAACATCTCCAGCACATTTTAACAATACCGTAATAATACTGATAACCGTGATAATTTTGGTCACTATTGTCACGCCCCTGGACTCTTTCTGTTGTGTTTTCCCTCCCCAGGTGTGCTGTGTTCCCTTTAATTAGTCATTCCTTGCACCTGTGTTTTCCCAATCACCCAGTGTTTAAAAGCCCCCGTCCTTTCCGTTAGTGTTTGTAGGTCCTCAAACGTCATTCCTTGTGTTCCAGTGTCTCCTACGTATACAAACACAAAGTCATTTTATTTGTTGTTTGTTAAATATAAAACTTGGTGAAGTGATTTATGTGTCGGTACTTTTTGAACATCTCCAGCACATTTTAACAATACCGTAATAATACTGATAACCGTGATAATTTTGGTCACTATTGTCACGCCCCTGGACTCTTTCCGTTGTGTTTTCCCTCCCCAGGTGTGCTGTGTTCCCTTTAATTAGTCATTCCTTGCACCTGTGTTTTCCCAATCACCCAGTGTTTAAAAGCCCCCGTCCTTTCCGTTAGTGTTTGTAGGTCCTCAAACGTCATTCCTTGTGTTCCAGTGTCTCCTACGTTCCCCGTGTGATCATTAAAGACTGTGAATTGAAGTTATCTCCATGGTTCCTCATTCCTCGCTCCTTGCCTCCTGAGAAGTGTGACACTATAATCGTGATTAAGAAATGTTCATACCGTTACATCCCTAATAGTAGGACTATTAATAGGGATGTGCACAAGTTTTCTGAAGTGACAGCGATGACTGATAATGTAAACAATGATCGGTCATGATTAGCCTTTGTGTGTTCTGGAACTCCACCTTCTTTGACGCGAGATTTTTTTTTCCCGGTTCGCTTCTCATTTAACGGAGGTCAGGCAGAAGAACAACATCTCCAAGTCACTAGCAACATGAACACACTGGAGTGTCGAATAGCTGAGCTGCCACAAATATATCCGCACCTGTACGATCGCTCGCGGAGAGACTTTAAAGATTCAGAGAAAGCATTTAATTCCTAGAAAAAAATTGCGACGAAGCTTGGTATCGATGACCCAGAGTTATGCAAAAAGCGATGCAGAGAAACATCCGAGACAAGTTACAAGCCATGAAAAGAATGAAAGAAAATAGTAAAGATATAAGGTAGCAAGTACCAAATGCATGTTTCAAATAAATGTTACACCATAACCTACTGCTGCTGCTATTGTTCTTTCAATAAGTGAATTTAAAGGTACACAATAAATTAAATGCCAAAAAACATACATTTAGGGGTGCAACTGCACATTTGCCGAGGGGTATGCAAGATCAGTGTTGGCGCCTCCCTTTATTCTAGTAGCCTCTAACACTTACTCGCGCAGAAAACATGACAAAAAGCCCATTACTAGTTTGTGCATGGAAGGATACAAACTCATCAGGAGTGAAAAAAGTGACAAAGGTTTGACCCCCCTTCCCCCTTTTTTAATACCATAGGAAAAAAAGGAAAAGTGAGTCACATAACATCCCCTTTACCTCCTTGAACACTTTTTTTAAAATACCCCGGACCCCCCAATACAGTAAAACTGCACATTTTAGAGTGGCCTTTTATTGTGGCCAGCCTAAGGCACAGCTGTGCAATAATCATGCTGTCTAATCAGCATCTTGATATGCCACACCTGTGAGGTGGATGGATTATCTCGGCAAAGGAGAAGTGCTCACTAACACAGATTTGTGAACAATATTTGAGAGAAATAGGCCTTTTGTGTACATAGAAAAGTCTTAGATCTTTGAGTTCAGCTCATGAAAAATGTTGGGCAAAAACAAAAGTGTTGCGTTTATAATTTTGAGAACATCTGCAATTTTTTTTCTTTTAATTTTTACTTAAAGAGATAATTCATATATTTCTGCCAAGATTTCACATGGTAGAAAAACAAATACTATTAAAATGAATGTCATGATTCCCACTATGACCACTAAAAGGTAGCAGAGGGTCATTTATTGTCTCCTTTACCATTTCCACTCTGTAATATAGTTCTTTTCACATATTTTGCTAATAGATTTATATTTAGACATTATAAAATCACTGTTATAACATTTAAAAATCTATTTTTAGTCAAAGTTCAGCATTGTTTTGTTACACAGATGGCCTATATTGAATTAACAACGGCAATTTTCAGTGAAAAGTGGCTAGTTTATATCCTTGTTTACAATCTTAGTTTCATTCAAATCTAAATCAAATGCCCATTCACAAACATGTAACTACATAGCCTATCATCTTGAACCCTCTTGTGATCTCGAATTGCAGAATATTTCAATAGGCTGTATGCATTTGAGAGACGTTCTTAAATGTAATGCACATACATGCATGCACAGTTTTGCCGTTTTAATCGCCATTTTGGTCATTTCGGTAAGTAGATGCCGATCATGGAAACTAATAGCAGAGTTAGGTAAGAATCTAGTCGTATTGCAGTTTTCTCGATTGTTAATATAACTGATTTTAATTGGCACTTTTCCCCCCCAAACCATTAATTCAGTTTTCAAAACAAAGACACATTTCTCAAAAAGTTTAACAATGAGTAAGTAAAACATTATGTAGCAAAACTGATGACACACCAATCAGAATCTCTGCATGCTAACAACGGAGAGAGGAGAGAGCTGAGTCAATCATCTACAGGGGTTTTATACTTACACATACAGTAGGGTGACCATACGTCCTCTTTTCCCCGGACATGTCCTCTTTTTGGACCTACAAAAATGCGTCCGGCCGGGATTTCTTAATTGCCCAAAATGTCCGGGATTCGGTTGTGTTCTTAATCCCGCTGAATCTCTGACCATTGCCGCCTGCTGCCGCAACATGTGTTTCGCTTCCTCGATTTTCGTGTCCACTCCTTTAAACATTCTAATATTGTATAATATCATTTTGGCACATCAGAGAGCCGCTCTCAGGATGCAGTGTATTTAAATATTTTTGAATGAGCATTTGAGCTGTTTACTTTCACTTTCGATTTCGCGATCACACGCACTCTGTGTAAAAGGAGCACATCTTACAAGATCAGATATTTGTCAATGAGCTCAGGTTCTGTTGAGCAGCAAATACTCCAGCATGGTCTTGTCAGTCATCTCTCCTTATTCTTGACCTGAGATCAGTCAAATCCTTACTGCAGAACACAAGATCCAGGGGGCGAGGTTGGATCCAGATCCAACTCCTCCCACCATACATATACCTAAACCAACCCGTCTTCACCCCCTGATCCCTAAACCCACCCATCTCCACCCTCTAGATGTGGATCCAACCCCACCCCCTGGATCTTGTGTTCTGCAGTGAGGGGCTACTGCAAATCTGACTCCTGCAGCTCTTGTTGGATACAGGGTTGCCAAGTCCGCATTTTTTCCACAGAATTGGGCTACTTTTAAACTGTAATGGGTTGATTTTCCCAAGTGGGTTAAAGGTTTGAAATATTGCCTAAATTACATTTGACTGAAATGCTTGTGTTGAAACATTTTGCATTCTATCTATGATAAAACTTTCATGGACTTCTACATTAACTGTTCCCTCCTGGTGGAATGACCTGCCCAGCTCAATCCAAGCAGCTGAGTCCTTAATATTTTCAAGAAACAGCTGAAAACATATCTCTTTCATCTTCATTTGACCCTCTATCTCTAGCACTCTCTATTCTAATGCTACTTTTAATTTTATCTCCTTTTTTGTTTTATTAAAAACTTGACCCTCTAACATTTGCACTCTCCATACTATTTCTATTCTAACTACTTGATTTATTTATAAAGAAAGAAAAGCCTCCAACACTAGCATATTCTCTATTCTTTCTACTTATTTTATTTTTATTTAAAAATGACCCTCTAACACTAGCATTCCCTATTTTTTCTACTTGTTTTCTTTTTATTTATTATAAAAACAAAATAAGCAAACAAACAAAAACCTTGCTATGTATATGGTAATATGAAACCCCGCCCCCTACTGTCCTCTTTTTGAAAAACTTAAATATGGTCACCCTAACATACAGTATAATTACAGTACCAGTACATTAGATAATGGACATTTTACTGTTCTATATGTACCGTAAACTGTAGCACATGTTGTACACCTTCAAGCGTGTGACTGTCAAATTTTATTTGTAACCATTTTTTATGTGCACTGCATTTTTGCCGAGCTGAGAAATGACTGCCTAGCAGGAACTCTGTCCTTCTACAGCGTCTCTGACACAATGAGCCTCATCCACACAGTCCAGACCACATTCACTCAGCCGCTCTATCCTGGGTTTAATGTTGGTTTTGGATCAGTGAAACTGTGTTGATGAATCAGAATAGACTGACGAGAGATTCTACCCATAATGCTTTGAGCTGCATGATGAATCAGTAATCACACATAGCAATAGACCAATTTAGAGTAGACGTCACAGTTACGTCACTTGCAGCTGCGTGCGCATAGTGGTTGCAGAAAAACACTGGGAACAAGTGGATATAAATGGGTAAAATCCATGGAATAAAATAAATATTTTTGTGCCTTTTGATGTCAAGATCGGAATGCAAATAATTTTTATAGCATACTGTCGTCAAAGACGCCATTTGAAGCTAAACGCAGATGTTTAAATGGACATACTATGGATGAAAACTGTTATGATCACTCTACTTTTAAAGCATAAATTTGATTTAAACAATAGGTCTACATAATATTCACATATGCTGTTCATAGGGGACGTATTTTATTAGCCTTACAGATACAGCATGAAATATTATTTAAACCTTACTATTAACATTTTTACATAACATTTATTTATTTAATCTCACAATTCTGACTTTTTTTCTCGCAAATGCAAGTTTATATCTCCTAATTCGGACTTTATAACTCGACTTAACTCAAAAATAGTGAGTTTGTCAAATCTGAGGGAAAAAAGCCAGAAGAGCCGAGGGGGAAAGAGAGAATGACGAATTGTTTTTCCTTATTAGAATTGTGAGATATAATCTCGGAATTGCGAGAATAAAGTCAGAATTTTGAAATAGAAAATCAAATGTACTTTTTTTTATTCTTTTATTCCATGGCTCCATAGCCTGCCGCTTGAAAACCCTCATTTTCTGCCTCCAGATAGGCTCCGCCCACAGTCTGAAGCATGTGTGCATGTAAATCAGATCAGATGCAGTAGTCTGATAAAGTCATTCGCACGCCAGCATGTTCTGTTTCTACAAAAGGGCACCAAAACAATACATCATCAGCTTCAGGGTGTCTGATGTAAGACTTTGAAGGCATGCCTGAAGAAAAATGGGTTCACGAATCAATTTGATTGACGCGTTCAGTTCCCTGCATGCACTGAATCTTCTGGAACCTTCTAACGGAATATTTAAAAACACAAAGAACTTGGAGAGAATTGGAAGAAGTGGCCAAGAACCTACAGTTAGTTGAAACCAAATCTGCAAATGCATCCTGTTGTTTGGCATCGATAGATCTTTATTAGTTGAACACCTGCAGTCAGATTTGGTGTGCAGAACACATGCTTCAGACTCTGGTCATGCTGCGGCGGTCCTATCCACCTTATTTTTCCAAATAAATTTGTCAATTTAATGAGTCTGGCTTCCGGTGTCATCCGCTTCCAGCTATTTTTAGCTGTACAAAACAGTTCGTTCTGCTGCTTGATATTGCAAATAGGTGTGTCTTACCATATCATTTTAATGTATTATCTGTATTATCTTAATTATGAACACACTGGTTTGTAGTGTTTACCGTTTACTGCACATTGTTATTCTTCTCGTTATTTCCCTTCAGCGGCTAATAAGCCGAAAGTCTCGCACAATCACAAAAAATGGCTTACTTCCGCGTTGAAAAATAAGGTAGATAGTCTAAAGATATTAAATCAATTGCGTAGAGGTATGGGTGTTTGGTGATGAGTTTTTGGTTCAAGGTCTGCATTTAAAGTCACACCAGAGGTGTTCAGCTGGGATTAGGACTTGGCTTTATGAAGACCAGTCAAGTTCTTCCACACCGACTGAATCAATCATTTCATTTTGAACCTTGCCTTATTCACAGAGGCATTGTCATGTTAGAATAGAAAAGGGTCCTGTCCAAACTGTTGCTGTAAAATTAGAAGCTCAAAATTTCCTAGAATATCATTATATGCTTAAACATTAAAGGGATAATTCACTCAAAAATGAAAATTTTATGTTTTTCTGCTTATCCAGCTAATCAAAATGGTACTTACTTGCGCTTATCCGGATTGTTCAAACCGACTTAAAACTAAAAGATTAGGTTCTCTCGCGCGAACTCATCCGGGAGCGGTGACTTTCCACGTATTCCCAACTTCTGAGCCTGCTCGCCTGAAGTTATGGTTGATTGCTCTTCAGCTGGATATCAACACACCCTTTAACGTAAACTACACCAGAGCGCGTACACACCTCACGCACCGAATGCAGATAAACAAGATTTAAGATTTGTACTCGTGGAAATTACTAAAGTAGTCAAACCTGTTCATTAGAAGGGGGTGTCCCAATTCTTTTGCCAATATAGTCTACATCAAAAATCCTAATGAACCAAAAACTGGATATGATGTCAAAAGATCAGGACTAAATGTATCATTTTCTTTTTTGGCCTCGGACCAAATAAACCAAGAGAACCGAACACTCCTAAATAACCAGTTAAATATTTATTAAAAACAAGACCATAAAGCCTCTTCGAGAGCTTTTCTTAAAAATACTTTATGAAGATCTTATATTAAAATGATTCTCATCATAAAGTATTAAATCTGTTGTGTTTTAGTTCAGTTCAGCAGAGGAGATCAGAAGCAGAGCCCAGCCATGTGTCTATGAAGAGTGACGCGTCTATGGTTCAGCCAGTAAAGTTTAAGAGTGGAGATACACGGCCTGGTCTCAGGTACAACTGAGTTATATATCATTTGTATTAAAACATTCTTATTGTATAGTATTTATTTTCAACAAAAAAATCTTCTTGTGCTTTGTTTGTGGGTATTTTTTTTAATCTGTATCTGATAATGTAACATACAGAGTATGTGAGCGGAATGGAGTGGCAACAATTTCCCCTCCGCGCTCCGAGCATTTAATAATCACTCCGCTCCGGGTTCACCATTTCCCGCTCCCGCTCCACTCCTCGCTCACTGATATCAGAAACACAGCTCCGCGGCTAAAGTATTTCAGTATGTTTGAAATATCACAGTTCTGTTCATAACGTATATTAAAAGAAAATAATAAAATAAATAAAATGACAGGAGCTTTTCAAAGTGGATTATTGGAACACTAGTGTGCAAACTTATTTCCTACCACATGACAAGCTAATAACATGGTTGTCAGCATTAAAAGGTAGGCTATTGATGCTTTTTGCAGTGCAAATTTTGTTTGTGATGAAAATAACAAAGTTTTCGTCAGTTATTTTACCTACGGATCGCTGCATTTCTTACAGATTTCTGCTCATTCGAAATCGGATGCAGATGAAGTAGCACTGTATGAGATTACATTTGTTTGAATGCATTATTGAGAGAGCGATTGCATGTGAATAAAATGTTGTACCTGTTTAAATCATGATTTCACCTGAAAATATTCAGTATCTAGAGGGAACAAACAAATTCCTTAATAACTACCCTATGTCCATTGCCTTCAACATAGCCTTCACATTGTTTCTGATTTGAGTGATCCTTCTCTATCAAGCTAGCTAAATATGTTTAATGTGAATTCTTGCTAAATGTGCAGTTATATTATGGGCCGTTGGCATGAATTGTACTCGTGATGGAGCGGTGATGGAGCGCTCTTGGAGCGAATGAAAACCACGACGCTTTTATATAAACGGTAAGTTTTCGTCAGTTATTTTACCTACGGATCGCTGCATTTCTTACAGATTTCTGCTCATTCGAAATCGGATGCAGATGAAGTAGCACTGTATGAGATTACATTTGTTTGAATGCATTATTGAGAGAGCGATTGCATGTGAATAAAATGTTGTACCTGTTTAAATCATGATTTCACCTGAAAATATTCAGTATCTAGAGGGAACAAACAAATTCCTTAATAACTACCCTATGTCCATTGCCTTCAACATAGCCTTCACATTGTTTCTGATTTGAGTGATCCTTCTCTATCAAGCTAGCTAAATATGTTTAATGTGAATTCTTGCTAAATGTGCAGTTATATTATGGGTCGTTGGCATGAATTGTACTCGTGATGGAGCGGTGATGGAGCGGTCTTGGAGCGAATGAAAACCACGACGCTTTTATATAAACGGCGTGAAGGAAATGATTATAAACTGCTCTTTAAAGTGCATTTGCTAATGATAAATAAATATCTCATTAGTTGAATACAGTAATTTAAAGAATTAACTTTAATCTCTCCATGTTTTAGCTCAGTTCATCAGAAGAAATCAGATCCAGAGCCCAGCCATGTGTCTATGAAGAGTGACGCGTCTATGGTTCAGCCAGTAAAGTTTAAGAGTGGAGATACACGGCCTGGTCTCAGGTACAACTGAGTTATATATAACTTGTATAAAAATATTATTATAATATGGCATGGCCGTGGGAACTAGGGGTGCTGAGGGTGCTGCAGGGCCAGGTCTGAGATTTTCCTCGTGCCCCTCAATCATCCCCAAGATCTTTGTGATAGTTTTGTGATTAATTATGTATTAAACTGACCAGAAATCTGTAAAGTTGCAAAGACTAAAGTCTCAAATCCAAAGAGATATTCTTTATAAAAGTTATCACGCCTACCTAAAACGGCTCGTTCTAACACGCCCCCACATGTCTACGTCACTATGTGGGAAAATTTGCATAACGCCGCCCAAATGTTCACACAAAGAAAGAAGGCGTAACTTTTATGCCGTCGCCGCCATGTTGTGGAGATCGCCATGTTGTGGTTTCACTGTGAAAGCGAAACTACTTTGTTTGGTCTTCCAAAAGAGGACGATACCCGCTTCGTCATGCCTAGAGCTGATCTGTGCTGGTCGCTGAGGAAATACATCAACTTCTCGCTGTGGATCGCCGGATCGGCTTTCACCGGACGAAACAGAGTCCAGCCCGGGGTCGTCACATGTGGTTGCCGCAAGCCCACAGAACGCTCACTTTAGCCCGCCGTGTGTGACGCTGTGTTTCGTTGTGAAAGCGTTTTCAAAGTGGATTATTGGAACACTAGTGTGCAAACTTATTTCCTACCACATGACAAGCTAATAACATGGTTGTCAGCATTAAAAGGTAGGCTATTGATGCTTTTTGCAGTGCAAATTTTGTTTGTGATGAAAATAACAAAGTTTTCGTCAGTTATTTTACCTACGGATCGCTGCATTTCTTACAGATTTCTGCTCATTCGAAATCGGATGCAGATGAAGTAGCACTGTATGAGATTACATTTGTTTGAATGCATTATTGAGAGAGCGATTGCATGTGAATAAAATGTTGTACCTGTTTAAATCATGATTTCACCTGAAAATATTCAGTATCTAGAGGGAACAAACAAATTCCTTAATAACTACCCTATGTCCATTGCCTTCAACATAGCCTTCACATTGTTTCTGATTTGAGTGATCCTTCTCTATCAAGCTAGCTAAATATGTTTAATGTGAATTCTTGCTAAATGTGCAGTTATATTATGGGTCGTTGGCATGAATTGTACTCGTGATGGAGCGGTGATGGAGCGGTCTTGGAGCGAATGAAAACCACGACGCTTTTATATAAACGGCGTGAAGGAAATGATTATAAACTGCTCTTTAAAGTGCATTTGCTAATGATAAATAAATATCTCATTAGTTGAATACAGTAATTTAAAGAATTAACTTTAATCTCTCCATGTTTTAGCTCAGTTCATCAGAAGAAATCAGATCCAGAGCCCAGCCATGTGTCTATGAAGAGTGACGCGTCTATGGTTCAGCCAGTAAAGTTTAAGAGTGGAGATACACGGCCTGGTCTCAGGTACAACTGAGTTATATATAACTTGTATAAAAATATTATTATAATATGGCATGGCCGTGGGAACTAGGGGTGCTGAGGGTGCTGCAGGGCCAGGTCTGAGATTTTCCTCGTGCCCCTCAATCATCCCCAAGATCTTTGTGATAGTTTATTATGTATTTATGTATTAAACTGACCAGAAATCTGTAAAGTTGCAAAGACTAAAGTCTCAAATCCAAAGAGATATTCTGTTATCACGCTATCACGCCTACCTAAAACGGCTCGTTCTAACACGCCCCCACATGTCTACGTCACTATGTGGGAAAATTTGCATAACGCCGCCCAAATGTTCACACAAAGAAAGAAGGCGTAACTTTTATGCCGTCGCCGCCATGTTGTGGAGATCGCCATGTTGTGGTTTCACTGTGAAAGCGAAACTACTTTGTTTGGTCTTCCAAAAGAGGACGATACCCGCTTCGTCATGCCTAGAGCTGATCTGTGCTGGTCGCTGAGGAAATACATCAACTTCTCGCTGTGGATCGCCGGATCGGCTTTCACCGGACGAAACAGAGTCCAGCCCGGGGTCGTCACATGTGGTTGCCGCAAGCCCACAGAACGCTCACTTTAGCCCGCCGTGTGTGACGCTGTGTTTCGTTGTGAAAGCGAAACTACTATGTTTGGTCTTCCAAATGAGGACACGGCTAGAAATCAGTGGTTAAGTTGTATTTACAACACTGTAACAGAACACTTCAACCCAAATATTCAGATGTGTGCAGCGCATTTTATGGAGGACTGTTTCCTGATCCTGGGAGAGTAGACTACAATGCCGGCTGTTCTGACTCAAAGACTGTAAGTACGTTTTTTTATATTTAAAGGATTTGCCACTGATGATTCAAACGTGAGTTTTGAGCAGTGTAGAGTAGCGCTTGTAGTTCGTCATTTCTCCGATCAGAAATGCAGACATGGTTTTATGTTTACGAGGCCCGATGCAATGCAGTGCGTAAAAAGACAGTATAACTCATTATAATCCGTAATTATGTCCCCACTGGATGCAACAAATGCCTCGTTTATAATGGGTTTTAATGTTTTTGTCTCGTCGCTCCGGCCGGACAGGTCAGCACAGTATGGTGAGGGGCGTAACATTTCCGTCACACGCTTGAGGTATTCGGCCAATCACAA